CTGCGGCGCGCAGCGAGCCCGACGAGCCCCTGGGAGCGGGCGCCTTGCGGCGAAGGGGCAGGAGCAGGCAGGCCGAGAGGAAGACGAGCTGGGGGACGGTCAATCCGTCGTCGGCGTGGAGCAAGGCGTCTTACGCCTCCGCGCAGAGGAAGAAGCTGTGCGCCCTGGGGAAGACGCTCCGCGGAGAGACCGAGGTATGCGCCGATGTGGACCTCGAGTGGATGATCTCTTTCTGCGCGATCGCGACCGCGGCTGCCGAGAGCGCGGGCGATGGCGGCGGGATGGAGGAGGTGGCGGCGTACGCGGTGGGCTACGGGATGCGAGCCAGGCATGTGGAGGACATCATGAGGCTCTGCGCGCCCCTCACTTGCACGATCCGCTTCAAGAGGGCGGACATGAGGAGTCTTAAGAAACTCTGCGGGGAGGGGTGAGCAGGAGATGGATCGAGGTCCCGCTTTGAGGACGCGTTCCGGGAGGATCGTGAAAGCCCCGGCGCGGTTCAGCCCCGAGCGCCCGGTCGGAGGCTTCGAAGACGACTTCGACAGCGAAGACTATGAGGACGCCCCGGAATCGCCGTCGGAATCGGGCGAGCCCGCCGATGGCTCGGACGAAGATCCCGACTATGAACCGGGGATGAGATCCAGCTCGGAGGGGGAAACGGACGAGGAACGCGAGTCGAGCGACGAGGCCGACGATGATGGTCGGAGCGAGGATTGGGATGCCGAAGATCACGCGGATGCACAATAATCTATCGTATTCGCTAGACTTCCCATGGAGACCCGAGAGTGGTCCTTCCTCCTGGACATGGCGTGCGCATCCGAGATCGCATATTGGCCCTTGAAAAAGATTCTCGACCACTGGTTCACCAGATTGGGTTCCAGGCGCATCCAGCGAGGTCCTCGACATAAGGACGACGTCGTGCGCACACAGGTGGTCGATCTCATGTGCAAATCGGAAAGAATGCCCCGGAGGACGGAGGAAGCGACCATGGATGCCGTGATGGTGAGCATAGAGTACTCGGGGGCTCTCGTCCTCGCTTTCCGAGGAACGGAGACCATCGAGAACGTGCTCACCAATACTAAGACTAATCTGGGCGCCATCAATGCGAACATCGCGACGGGCATAATGGTGCACCGGGGCTTTCAGATGCATCATCGCACGCTCATGAAGGCCGTCATAGATGAGATAACGCGCTACGTGCACGGCGAAGGCGATGACGTTATCTTCACCGGCCACAGCCTCGGAGCCTCCGCCTGCCTGATGTCCGCATTCGCATGCGCGATCGATCCGGTGATAAGCGACTTCATGAAACACGTGCGAGTCAGGTGCATCACGTTCGGCTCTCCGAAGATCGGAACGCGCGACTTCTCGGAGTGGTCCGACGACCTCGTGCCCGATACCATCAGAGTCGTGAACGGCGGGGACATAGTGACGAAGCTTCCCAGGCATATGTATCACGTAGGGAGAGTCGTCGAGTTAGCGAACGCGAAAGCACCACCTTGTATGAAATGCCATAAGCTCGAGAATTACATCGTCGCCCTCGTAAAGAGACTGCCGGGGATCCTCGTAGCACAAGTAGAGGACTGTGCGTGTCGATCCGGACAGTCGGCCGGCAAAATCTCTCCCGGCTAGAGCGTAGAGATCCAGCAACGAGGCATAAGGCATGAGATAGGGGATCAGCAAAATAAAGCGTCTTGTTCCTACAAGAGCTGCCTATGGGCGCCAAAATACGGGCGACAGTTTGGGCGAAAATGGTAATAAACGCTCTGCGAGTAGGCCCTTGGTTTTGGCAAAGGATTGCATAAAAGATAGAGATTCAAGGTGCACGCAGTGAGCATGTTGACCACAGGGTGGCCCGATCGATGCATCCTGCCCCGCGTGCCGCGGCGGCCATCGCTCATTGCTCATGTTCCGGCCGCTTTTTTTCCAGCCGAATATATCAGGAGCCGGATGGGACTGTTCGGGAAGAACAAAAAGTCCGTCAACGCAACGCTGAACGCACTGTCCGAAACTTTCCTCAATAGCGTGGTGGAGGTGAAGAACTCATGCCATGCCTCATCCTCCGCATCGAACATCGTGAACGTCAC